TTAACTAGCTAGTTTCTTTGTGATTGATAACTTCTGATAATTTTATTTTCTTAACAAACGTGTACTCCATATACTATAATCTAAACCCTTTAAAAGTAATGCAGTAATAATATATTTAATATAATGTATACTTGTAAAAGGAGAAAGAACTCTTGCTCAGTGTGCCTGCCAATCGTTAGCTCAGAGAAAAAGTTGTGCGCAAATTAATTTTAGTTCATTCCCAATCTTGAAACAGATCACAACTTAGTTAATATTTATAATGCATTTGCTTTCAGTACGTATAATCATGTTCTTGTTCTTTTTTGAAATAATAATAATAATCATGTTCATCATGTGACGGCGTGTGTCGCATTTTAGTTTAAGTACTAGTACTAACCAGTAGGGGGCACTTCGAATTATTAGTCGGTCCAGTGGTTTACACCATGATTACCTCCGTAAGAGCAGGGCTAAGAGACAGGATTAATTAGCCTATTATATATGCTTTGACTGCAAGGTACGTGATCTTGGAGAATTATGTGCATGAATCTCACATCTGTGTGGCTGATCGATCTCGTCGAGCATATCACGCAACAACCAGCTGCTACCAACCTCCCCATGATTAGGTCAGAGCAAATCATGGCTTCCATTCAGATTGGATATATAGATTCAGGCAAAAAGAGTTTGCAGTTTTGTCACATTTGATTTTGTCTGATGACATGCATATGCAAAGCGGCCGGCTCCATGTTTTGATTAATTCGATGTATGGCTTTATCAGCAATAACTGATTGTTAATCTCTCTATTGTTACATCATATATTCAGCTGGCAACGAGCTACGAAGAACAAGCTGTCATAGTCGTAACCAACAACATTTTTAGTTTTGAACAGATACATACATAAACAATTATGAAGAACGTCGAACATCATAAATATAATACATCATAAATGTAAGACATCATAGTGAGGTGGCTAGCCGGTGAGACTAGCAGGAACAGCTACCCAGGATCGTCTGGAAATCAGGACACTAACTTGCAAAGTCTCTAAGCTCAGGATTATGCCATTTTCTTTTTTTTTTTAAAAAAAGGATTCAATTAATAATACATAAAAGATACCCTAGTTTGCCCGAGAGAAAAATCGAAGGACTAAACGGTATGAAAGTTGAGAGGAATTATAGCCGCATTTGAGTCGTCAATCATGAACAGATGGTCCAAACAAGGGGAGAACTGAAAATGTGATGAGAAAAGCTGGCTCCTGCCTAGTTCCCTGTCCTGCGTTTTCCACTTTGTATGTGTGCTCTTTTTTTTTTCTCTTTTAAGAATTTGCATGTGTAATTGGTTGTCCTAAGCCCAAAAATGGCACACGCTCTCTTTGCTCTCATGCATGAAAAGCGTTGCAATGGTACAATCACGTCCCAAGCCATCCGTGCATCTTGCCATTGTCGGAAAAATGGTCTAGGAAGCTTATTGGTTGTTCATGCTCTCTGGTAAGTAAAAAGGTTTATTAGAAAATAAAAATTAATTTATAGATAAAACTTTTATATATTTATTTGTAGCGATTTAAAAGCTAATATAAAAAGAAATTACATTGAAAATATCTTAAAATCAACTTCAGGTTCAAAAATTTGAATTTTAGCTTTTGCTTTGGCTTATTAGGCCAACCTATGGGCTCTAAATTCACGGCACAATCTTGAAAAGTGTTGCAACGGTACAATCTCTGGTAATTACTTTCTCCGTTCCATTTTAAACGTAGTCATGAGTTTTATTTGAAATTTTTTTTATGATTAGTTTTTTTATTGTTATTAGATGATAAAACAAAATTAATATTTTATACGTGACTGATGTTTTTTATTTTTTTCAAACAATTTTCAAACAATGCGTATAATTAAAGTTGAACACAGAAGCTCGTGACTGCGTTTAAAATGGGACGGATGTGTACATGACATTGTCGCAGAAATGGTCTAAATTCACGGTGACTTCTCAACTAACCTTTGATTGGCACCGTTCCAACTTCCAAACACCGGGTATGGAGGTTAGCTCTTTTGACGAGAAGTTCGTTGCCTTCGTAAAATTTGATTGAGACAAAAAAATATTAAGGGTTTTTTATTCTTTACAGATGTGTTGATAGACTGTCCTCACTTCAGTTTTTCCACAAGAACAAGTGAACAACCTACGTCGTTTAATAGTCTTTCAAGACGCACACTCAGGCATGCACTGCTAAAGTATCACACCATAGAACACACATTACATATGCGAAAAACGTAGAAATAGGAAAAACGTAGGATTTTAATAGGAATGCAAGTGTAAAATAGAGGATTGAAAAACGCAGGAAAAACACAGGAATGACCGTTTTATTGAACCACAGGAAAAACACAGGAATTGGGTGAGAGAGATAGACTCAAAGGAAAGTTAGCAAGAGGTTGAAGCTCTTGCTAAATTTCCTCCAAAATATTTATAGGATTATCCATTCCATAGGAATTTCAAAGGATTGGATAGAATTGAATCCTTTGTTTCAAAGGGCTTCATAGGAAATTTTCCTATAGGATTGAAATCCTCTAAAAATTCTTATGTTTTTCCTCCAAATCAAAGGGGCCTTTAACATGCTTGAAATTACCCCCGTTGTCCATTCAAAAAAAAACATGCTTGAAATTACTTGAAAGATTTTGAGATAGAGCCCAATAGCGATTATTAGTCAATTGCTCCCTACATCCTACTAGCTATTTGTTGAGTTTAAATTAATTGAAAAAATATAGTTATTCTCCATATACACACACTCTCATCTCAACCAATCTAATCATTCACCATTTAATTTTACATGCTAATTTCATAGTTTCTTATAAAAACCTCTACTTCCTCCGTTTCACAATGTAAGTTATTTTACCATTTTCTGTATTTATCTTGATGTTAGTGAATCTAGACATATATAATTATCTAGATTCATTAACATCAATATGAATGTGGGAAATACTATAATGACTTATATTGTAAATAGGAGGAAGTACTTTTTTTATATTTTTGGACGGAGCAGTACATACCTGATTACATGCGGCACAATGCGACAACTAAAATAGACAAGGCTCAAACGAGGGCCCACCTGCTAGGGTCAAAAAATTTTGGGGGGCATCATGTATTCATGTCCCCTAATCCGGGGCGTTTAACCTAACCTAACCTAACCTACGTGGCTGTCTCTTTATGACACATGGGGCCCGCGCTCTGACCGTCCTGGCGGCACTAGGCGGCCCATGTGCAAATGCACCGCTCTGACCCATCACGTGTGGGCCTGACCCGGGGGGTCCACCTCCCAACTCGTGGGCCAGCGTTCCCACCGCCCCTGCCCAAAATGATCCAGCTCAGCGCCTCTAGGAGTGGATGACCCACGGAGAGATATGTGTGTGCCCCACCTGTCAGACGGGATTAAGGGCCTCGCTCTGTAGTGTAATCTGCCAATGGGATTACTCTGTATAATAATTAATTTATGTGAAAACTAATGTTTTCTTATAATACAATATAAGCGTATATTATCACGTGTGCATATTCATCTATACGAACGTATACCCTACTTATATGAACATCTCTAAAAGACTGAGCCGGCTATCTTGAGATTAACGAAACTACCACGGACATTTCATTATCCTAAATGCTCCATGTAAAGGTAAATAAAGTCTAGCTATGAGTATGAGTATGAGTATGGTTCTTTCCTTCCTTTAAAATTTGAAAGGCATGTAGTGTCGTTTTTTGAAAAAGTAAAACTTGTACTGGTATTTACCGCCGTAGAACTTCCTGTCTTCGACGATCAGAGGAAAAGAAAAAAATTTCTTGCACGGCACGATACGGGTGACGTGGCCGCCACCGGGACCCACGTGGCATGGGCTTTGTGGGCCCACGGACAGAGTTGGTCGAAGCATATCCATCCGGTAGCCCACAGGGTGGCGATCCCAAATTGAGTTTAACACTTGAGTGGGTCCCAGAGTGCAGGGCCCGATCATCATCTTCATCCGTTATTACATGCTACTCCCTCCGTCCCACGATATAAAGGATTTTCAGTTTTTGCCATAATATAAGTAATTTTTAGTTTTTGCTTGCAACATTTGACCACTCGTCTTATTCAAATTTTTTTTACAAATATAAAAAACGAAAAGTTGTGCTTAAAGTACTGTAGATAATAAAGTAAGTCACAAATAAAATAATTAATAATTTCAAAATTTTTTAAATAAGACGAGTGATCAAATATTGTAAGCAAAAACTTAAAATCTCTTATATTATGGGACGGAGGGAGTATTAATTAGTAAAGCCTATAGATTGAGTTGGACAGATCATACGATTCATCCAAAGTCATCATGCTAATCTCCTCCAATGTCATCATACAAATGAATTGATTATTACCATGCAAAGTTTGGGTTAATTACATGTTCCTCTTGAGTTTGTTAATCCTACCTCAGTCCTTTTTCTCCTAACTACGCTATATAGCTCGTAATCTTCCTCGAGACGGTTCGTTTTCTGTAACCTAACACAAGGACGGACACGCAGGTCTCACTCTAGTACGTATCATGTCAATGTAGTAGAATCCAATCGAGTTGTGACGTTGGTGTCTGTCTCTCTCTACCTAGAATCCAAATTCCTCTTTCCCTGATTGCTCTGCCGTTTTGCTGCCGTCTTAAGGCACCATCTCGACGATCGACGACGATGATGACAGATCGTGTTCGTTCATAAGTAGTAAACCGGCGAGATTAGGATCGGTGTTTAGGTAGGATTAACATGGCGTAATCATGGGAAGACATGATCATGGCAAACGGAAAGGAGAGGAGAACTGGAGAAGAGGCTCGATCACACACTGTCGTGCTGACAAAGCTTGTCTTGTAGAACACGCAGTGTACATGCCGATCGAACTTTCAGAGGAGGAGAAAAGATTAAATACGAGACGGCAAGATCATACTTCTGCTGCTGGTATAGTAGTAGTAGAGCTTTACTTACGTTGTACTCATCTGCTTTACTTGTTGGCGACCAGAGAGCGGCTATCAAACCAGATATAGGATGCAAAAGTTATTAACAGATGACTGTTTGTTTTTAACTTTCTACATGAGGTTGACCTGGTATGTCATGGATGATGGACCATGCAGCTGACAGGTGATGTACAGTGCATGTGTCAGGGAAAACAAGCAAAGCATCCCATGAACTAGTACACGTGTACACGTACTAGGCTACAATGCCCATACCTGAATCTGACCACACGGCGAAGTGACAAAGGCACGGCCGCACGGGTGCCTGGATGCATACAGCCTACAGTACAAACTTCACAAGCCATGTCGTTGCCATACTCATCCAGCAGCATCTTCAGAATTCATACAGAATTCTGAAAAATGGGTAGTAGTACCAGTACAAAATCACACAGGATATGTACAGCAAGTGAGCTTCTGAATTCTGAAACATGCTGGTCTGTTTACTTGAATCAATTAATACTACAGTTGCCTGGGAGCTTGGCACGGTAGCTTTAGCCAGGGCAACAACAGATACTCCTTCCTGAATAACTCTGTCAGATAAGCGAGAAGGCTTATACCTTCTTGAAGAATGACATAATGTTGCCTTGCTTGGTTCCAGCCTTGGCAGGTTTCTTGTTGCCGGCTGTTTTACTCGAAGCATTGCTTTTTTCGGTCTTTGCTACTGGCTGCGGCTTGCTTGAGAGAGTTGCCCTGACAGAAAATGCAAGGAGAACAATAGTTATCAGCAGGTCCAATCGGATCAGGTACGTTGGTTTTGTGAGGGAGTTCTGTTAAAAATGACACGCTAGCTGAAGTTGCCTAGTCGTCTCACAAACTAATTAAGATAGAGACATCAAATCAGGAAAAATGTTGAAATCAGATTAGATGGCATACTTGCATGCACCAACACAGCTAGTACTTAGGACTTGAAGAGAACAAATCAATCAGATGTCTATTTTTACATCCGATGCTAGTTTTTAGATTTCCACTACATATATGGTTTGCAATACATATTTTCCCCAGCTGTGCAAAGAGATCAGGAAAGCAGGCTGAACAATATTTCACAAACAAATTGGATTGCTATTGTAGATAAGATATAGGATGTAAAAGGGTTTAAGGTACCAATCAGCAGGATGGTGATTAGATGACTACATTTTCTCCTACTACTCTATGGCCAGCTCCATACCATACCTACAGCTTCATACTGGACAGATTATTTATGGCTACAGGGCCAAACATTTCCACAAAACGGAAGAAGACCTAGGGATTAGGTAATACTCCATGCCCATAGTGGCAAATATAGTCAGAACCACGTTGTCTTTAATTCAATGGAGATTAATACATGAAAACTAATCAGGTCGTTAGTGGTACAAAAATATAAAAGAAACTGACGCTGAATGTGGTGAAACTATAATGAGCTATCAAATTTCATCAAACACGGCAGAAGACATTACCTGTTTGCAGCACCAGTATCGCTCACATTCTTCTCAGCCTTATCACCTGCAGAAGCTTCACCCTCCCAGACAACCTCGGTTACTGAAACAGAAAAGCAAGTAAGAAAATCAATGTCTCCAATTAATACGGATGTAAAGCAGACCAGGGAATTAAACTAAGATGCATGTTACAATAATATTCTGACAATACATGGTAACACATATCAGTGCCACCTTAATATTCTGTAGGCATTGTGAGCATGCAGCACTGCAGCCATGCACCCAAAGTAATACCCAAAGTAATACGGAAAAAAGCACCATTTCCATGATTTCCTTACATGAGCTTAAAACTAGAAGATTGACTATAAATAAATCTGGACATACTAAACGTCACTATAGTGTAAACTATTTCGTTCGTCTATATTAGACTAAACTACACTTTTCTGTACTATCCTTACTATTTCAAAAGAACTGCATACTGTCTTTATTGCTTTGTTATATAGGACAACATGTCAACACAACATAACCATGCTTTCCATAAAAAAGACACAAACTAGCCACAATACAGGAAAAATAATTTTTTTTACTGCATTTGTATTATTATAGTTTTGCCTTTGTTTTTGCGGTAGCCAGTAAACATAAGTAAACAATATTGGCATATTAGAAACATGTGTAATATACTTTATGGGATTAGAGTATAATGCTTACCTTCTCTTCCCCGCTCATCTATTCGTGTCTTCAAAACTTTCCTTCTTTTAGGTGAGTTGGAAGCAGTCTCAGCAGCATGATCCTGCTTATTGTCATTAGGTGGTGGACCATTGTTCTTTTCTTTTAAGGTGATCCCAGAATGGCTGACAGTGTTGCTACTTTTGGTTTTACACTCAGGAGACTCTGTCCTTCCTATGCAACATTTCACATCCTTCTCAACCTCTTGTTTATTTTCCAAGTTTTCTTGTTTGGGGTTACTTTCTTGAGCAACCTCATCAATAGGATTTGTAATGCACTGTTCCGGTGGCTCAGGAGATGCAATGGCTACAACATTGTCATCTTCATCATCATCTGAAAGATCAAAGACTGCTCTTCTCTTTCTGTTATTTGCACTAGAGCCACGCTTGTAGTGTACAGCTTGTTCATCATCACTACTATCAGCATTTGCTTCTTCCTTTGCACATATTTGTGCATCAGCTGTAACTGAAAACAGCAACAAGATGAGAACTTCAGAAGTATGCTTAACTTGACATATCTGATTTTACATGATTAGGTATGCATTTGAATTAACATGCAAGAAAATATAACAAAGAAAAGAAACATGAATGTTTGTATGCAATACCAGCAACACTTGGTAAAACTGTAGGATTAGTGGTAGCTGGAGTCTTGGGTTTAGCTGATGCACGTCCCCACATCGTAGCAAGTGATCCACCATTACTGGGCAGCGCCTTCCCATTCTGAGCCTTGTTTTTGTTTCCCTGCAGAGCAATTGATGGTTCTTTGACAACAGGAGCATTGGTGGCTTTATCCAAGACCGAGGAAATATCCTTCTCAGCCTTATTACTTGTTCCTTTCTTTGGACTGGATGATCCAGGTAGACCTTGCTGTTGACCCTTAGCAGATTGTTCTTTTGGAGCACTACTAGTTTTCAACGGTGCAGCTGCAGCAACACTATTTATAGGCTTTGGCGGAAATGAACTCACAAGCTTCCCATTAGCAGTTCGCTTGACAAAAGAATTCAAAACACCACAAAACCTGCAGAAGAGAAGATACTGAATTCATAATCCTGATGAGGGAAATAAGTGGCAAACATTGGGATACTTGTAAATTTTTTTTTTTTGCACCATATAGTTCTTATTTATATTTTTGCTGTTTAATATAAGTATATTACATCCCTCCCTCCCACTCTGACCCATTCTGTACTGCTCCTATCTAATTATGTCTTCTCTTGATTTTGGGGGCTAAGCAAGGTGACTAAGAAGAACAATACCTATTATCTCTCAAACAATTTTCTTCATCAAATGGCCGGTTAAAAAGCTCCTCTGCCTGTACAAATTCAGGATTCCAAAGTACAGCAGTATCTTTTGGAATACAAGCCTGGATACTGTACACTTGAACTGAACAAGAATCTTTAAATTCTTGCCTTGCTTCTGCATCATAAAGAAAAAAAAAACAAATGCTCCACTTTTCAGTCAAATTCAACATTTATCAGAAAAGGGTATACTGTAAATTGGGAAACTATACTATGATAAACCTGAGGCAAGACATTACCTTCAAGTTTATGGCCTGAAGTGAGTTTTACACAATAATTTGTGGGGTTCTTCTTTAACCATCCAGACACACTGTAAATCACTTTAAGATCAGCCCCATGTTTGTTGACGAACTCCTGAAGCAACCTAAAAAGAATTAGTAACTAGTTAGTTGTGGTTAGGATGTTTCATTTATCCAATGATTAAGGGAAATATCCATAAAAGGGAAACCTTTACCTCTTTGAATCATTGGATGATACTGAGAAGTTCCTGCTGAGCCATTTGTATGAAATCTGTCAAAAACATACATACCAATTGTTGAAACACTGTCTGCCAGGCAAATAAATCCAACAACTCCAATGGATCAACCACTAAACAAGTAACAAAAATATTAAGAGAAAGGACAGGCAACTGGTTCATCCTATGGCCATGTGGAGCTGCAGTATCACACTTGGTTAATCATTATGTGAATAAACACATGATATACAGCAATCTAATTGGATACTCCACCATCACATCTATGTCGTGTTTCCCAAGCTACACAAACTACCAGCTTCAAAATTGTTGAATTTGACAAAGAGGCTGAGGCAAATCTTAATCCTCCACCAAATGATTGGAGTAAATCTAAGTTTGTCATGGAAAAATGGAAACACTTTTACTCCCTACATACACATGAATAGGCACCGAGCCATCAACAAAGAAAAGCAGACGTGTCAACTCAGAACAGTAAATCCACCGCGAACTGGCACATTTGTTGCTTGTTTCTTTTTGCTTTTCTAAGCTTACCGCAAAATATGAACATTGATAGCCAAAACAAAACCCAGCAACCCTAAGTTTCACCTCAAACGAAACGCAAACCCTAACTGGCAAGAACAGTAAGACAAGTCGCACGAGAAACCGAGAAATCGTCTCGCCCCCCCCCCCCCCCCTTCCCCCAAATATTTCCTTCTTTCGAATGCCTTGAACCGAGAAACAGATAAAGCTTGTTTGGTAACACGAGAGAAGGGGACCAGTTTATACGAAGGAATTGATGATGAGATTAAGATGGGAATTTGATTTTTAATCCCAATATCTTGTTTAGTAGAGGTGATGGAAATTGATAGGGAGTTTAGTTGGAGATTAAAACGGATGGCTGAGATTTGTTTAGACAAAATAAAGGAGAAATTCTCTCCTAATTACCTGCCACTACCCAAGTATTGAAAATGAGGGAGTTCCTTCCTTAATTCCTCATCCCAATCTTACCAAAATTCTCATGTCTCCCAACCAAACCAAACACTTAATAACCTCATCCCTCTGAACTACCAATCCCTCCTAAAAACTCCCTCCAACCAAACGGGCCGTAACGCGGTAGAGCCTCGCAAGAGCAAGACAACGCGAAATCAGACGATAGAGTCGTACTAATCAGGATGGGGATTATTTCCGCTATCACTCACCACACGGAGCGGATCGGCGAAGAGGGCGTGGATCTGGGGAATCAGGTCGAGCAGGGCCGGGTCCGCGGCGGCGGCCGCCATGAGGGTGGTGCTTGGCGAGAGCTCCTTCTCCCGTTTCCAGAAGATTCTAGAGCCCTCGCGCCTCGCTAGGGTTTGGGGAATTGGGGGGAGGAGAAGAATTGGGGAATTGGGGAATTGGCGGGAATCGCTTGGGGGGATAATGACCAAGCGGCGGTTTTCCCGCCTCCCTCCTTTTTCCTCTAGGCGGCAGCCCGAGAGACCGGGACGCAGGGGTAGGCCCCACCTGCTCTAGATACATCCATGTCACTGACAGTGGGACCCACGCTGGAGCGGTCCGGTTAACCCGATGGGCCACATATGGCGCGCACATCACACTCAGGTTCTGGCCTGTTCCGGCCCAAAACGCATTGCCGTCCCAACGTAAGTCGTATGACCGTTCCGGCCCATCATATATCAACATTCCTATTTTAGGAGGAAAAAGTTGAATTTAACTTGGCTTTCTCAGATAGACCTGATTCGTATCTCTCAACACTAAAACCGGATATATGGATCCCTCTAACTATTAAAATCATATATAATGACTCCCTCGATTGATTGGGGAGTGATTTTGGCTAACGTGACATTCATGTTGCAGTCCAGTCACTAGGAGAATTAAAAGTAGACATGAAACCCACATGTAAGTAACAAGAAAAGCAATTGTGAAGCCAATATGTCAGCGCCTACTCATATCCTTTCCCATCTTTCTTTTCTCTTTCTTCCCCCGGACCCACCCCAAGCTTTGAGGTTGCTAGCCAATGTGCCGGTGGCCGACGAGCCCCTCAGAGCGGGCAGCGAGGGTGACGGACCAGTTTAGTGGAGGCTGGCCCAGTGCAACGCGAGGTGGTCAACAAGAGAGCGGAGTCCGCGCAAGGGTCGATCTTGTCCCGGGCGACATCGTCCACCTTTTCCTAGTGGCGGTAGAAGGGGCAACCTAGGAGCTCCACCGCCCTCACAGTCGGATGTCCGGTCCACTCTCCGCTCGCAACGGTGACAGTCGTGGTAGGGGTTAGGGGACCGATCCTTATGGCTGTGGTAGGGGCTAGGTGACGGATCACAGCGGCGGTTGCGCATGCGGGTTTGCAACGAGGACCAGGATTGACGGCATTGTAGGGAGGGGGTAGTTGCTTCTGCTTCCGCCCTTCGTTGAGGAAACTCTGAAAGAATTTGTCTCTTTCAACCACTTCCCTTACCAGGCTAGCAACCCCAAGGAAATCTAGGTTTCAAGCAACCACCTAGGATTAGCAAGTCTCCAAACGACTCAAGATCCAAATATGGATGATGAGCGCTGATCCACCGGTGAAGCTTGCTATAACATGCAATCTCCTAGAAAATAGTTTGGTTTCCACTAAATTACCTCTTTCCTTGCGGAGGTGAGGGAAACCTTCACAAACTTGGAAGTTCACCGAATAACGCTCTGCTAACTAGAAAGCTTAACCTCTAAGAGTAACAAACACAATCGAAGATTTGCTTGCTATGAATCCAAGTGCTCAAAGATTGGAGTAAAGCTCACTAGCTCTTAACTTCTCTTCTCAACCACTCAACCCCCAAACTCTTCTCTTTTCAAATCCCTTCTCAACTTCTAACTCACAACACAAAGGTATAATATTGGGGAGTGGTTCTTTTTGATTTTGGATGGATATACTCTTGCACAAAGTCAGCAACCATGGATGGAGAGGGTGGTACTCTTTCATTGGTTTTGCCTATCGGGAAGAACAATATGCATATCAGCACAAAGTCATCAACCATGGATGGAGGGTGTTGGTTTATTCAGTGTAACAACCTGCATACACTTAAGTGTATGAGCAGTCCCTAAAACTTGTGAGAGTGTCATCTAAGTCTCTGAAATCTCAAAATATACTTTTTTTTGTCTCCGAACTTGTCGTGAGTGTCATATAGATCTAAATAAGTTCCAACCCTCCATGTGCGGACGTGGCACACCACGTTGATGCCTACGTGTCGGTGGACCAAAGTGCTAGTCATAAAAAAATTAAATTAAAAGAGAGGATAAAAAATAAAAATAAAGGAGAGAGAGAGAGAGGAGAAAAAGATGGTTATTTATTTATTTTTTACTAATATGTGGGTCCCACTAACATATATGCACCGCTGTGCTATGCCACATCAACACATGAAGTAAGTTGAAACTTGTTTAGTCATATACGACACAAATAATAAATTCGAGGACGCAAAAATACATCTTAGAAATTTAAAACCTAGATGACATGTCCGTACAAATTTAAAAATTGCCTGTACACTTCACTCCTTACGAGAGTGAACATCGGGTGCTTACAAATATTCCCCTTGTCCTTAACCTTGTTTATCCATGGACTTTCTTTTGCCTTATTTATCCATGGACTTTCTTTTGCGCGAGTCAACATCGGGATTCGAGTGCAGGCTGCCGGACATATACACACACAAAGGAATATGGTTCCAGTGCAGTTGTAATAGAGACTGCAACTTTGCAGTTGTAATCATTTTTCACCGTTGGATTAAGACGATCAACGGTTTAAATCTATGCCACGTCGTTTCAAACAGTAACTGCTACAGTGCTCGCTACGGGAAATACGCAGCTACAGCATTTGTCAAATATGCCCAGTAATATCTTGGCCATTACTTCCCAATCCAACGGTGCTTATATGACTGCTCAAGTTGCAGTGGCTATAGCAAGTGCAGTATGCAGGTGATCTCAATTCCACACAAAGTGAACGGACAAAGGTTTTTAAGTACAACGATCTATACATCCTAACAATTTTTGCCTTGTCCTTAACCTTTTTGTACATGGATTTATCTGCACGAGCCAACATCGACTGCCAGATAGCTGAGGGGGAACTGTACAGGGAGTTCATGCACAAAGGTCCCTTCGTTGAAAGTGTAACGGTCTATGCAAGGTTTACCTTTTCGTTTACAAAATGAAAACCACTCCCCACTGGTATAACGAAAACCGACCAAAAGATGATAAAAACTAACGACTTTAAGTCAACCCCGTAAAAAACCGCTGGCCGTTGGTTTGTGAATCTTCCACGGGCCACATGATTGATAGTCGGAGCAAAGTCGGGGAGACATCGAAAACACAAGCCACTTTGGTCCTTGTTGATTGGTCAGTTAACCCCGTCCCACACGATAATACTCCATTAGTAAGCTTCCTATAGCCATATCCATCAATGTGACTCATTGCCGGCCTGAACACTCTGTCAAGGAAAACAAACAAGGAATTAGAACTCACAGATGACAGATAAAGCAATGCTGCAGATTGCAGTACTTTAATCTTCAAAATACAAGCATGAAAATCTAGCTGCACCCTATTGTCTGTACCAGGCATGGCCATGGCTCCTGTAAGCTTCCTCCTCATCTTCTTCCTCACCACCGCTGGTCTCACCCTCCAAACCTGCTGTTTCGACAGCCCAGGACACTCCGCGAACCTGTCCACCATCTGGACCTGCACTTCCCCAACAACCGATGTTCTCGTCGCTAACCCTCTACTCAGCCGGCCCGTACCAGACAATCACAACCTTCATTTTGCTGCAGGCTTCTACAATTACCCCCTGGTTAACACCTACATCTTTGGAGTCTACACTGTTACTGACGCCGGTGAATTTGCAGACATGACCTCTTGGCGCCCAGAACCCGTGGCAGATGTATGGTCGGCCAACAGGGACCAGTTGATCCGGCAGAACTCCACCCTAAGCTTCACGGCTGAGGGGGACCTGGTTCTTCAGCATCCGGATGGCAGCCTTGTCTGGTCTACCAACACTTCCGGCCAGTCTGTTGCAGGAATGACCCTCACAGAGTCCGGCAACCTGGTGCTGTATAATCACAACAACTTACCGGTCTGGCAGTCATTCGACCACCCAACGGATTCCTTGCTCCCTGGACAGAGATTGGTGCAAGGAATGAGATTGAAGCCTAACGCATTGGCAGTAAATCTGATTGCCAGCGACCTGTATTATTTAACTGTTCATTCGGATGGGCTCTATGCATTTGCAGGATCTAGCAACTCCCAGCCCTACTATGAGTTCACAGTGTCAACTGGAAACAAGTCACAGAATCCTCCAGCGTATTTAACTCTGGCGAACAGGAGCTTGGACATATTTGTTCCATCCTCTTCATCTGCAAATCTGGAACACTTGTCCCTTCAATCACCGGCTCTGTCTCTCCAGTACATTAGATTTGAATCTGATGGGCAACTCAGGTTGTATGAATGGCAAGCAGACCAAAATGGTAGATGGCTATATGTGCAGGACGTTTTCCCATTTCAGTACTGTGATTACCCAACTGTCTGCGGGGAGTATGGGATCTGCTTGAATGGACTGTGCTCCTGTCCAACTGCAACTGAAAGTCACATTCGATACTTCAGACCGGTCGATGACAGGAGACCACATCTTGGCTGCACACTGGAGACCCCGATCTCCTGCCAGTTTGTACAAGATCACCAACTCATATCTCTACCTAATGTTTCATACTTATACTACGATAGCTCCAGAGTTTCAGAACTAACTGATGAGGAGAGCTGTAAGCAAGCATGCTTGACCACTTGCTCTTGCAAGGCTGCCTTGTTTTGGTATGTTGATAATAAATCAGCTGGAGACTGTACCTTGGTATCACAAGTCCTCTCACTTAAGACAAGTTATCCAGGATACGATTCTTTAGCATTCCTGAAGGTCCAGATCACACCTTCACCTCACCTGGAAAAACATAGATTAGTACCTTTGGTTCCTGTGCTTGTAGGAGTTGCTTCTTTCTTTGTCATGCTCACCATTGTCTTGGTAGTTGTCCAAATACGGGCGTCAGCAAGACAAAGATGGCGAAGACGAGTTTGCTGAGCTACCTGGCATGCCAACAAGGTTTAGTTTTCAGATGTTAAAACTTGCAACCAAGGATTTCAGCAACAAACTAGGTGAAGGAGGATTTGGTTCAGTTTTCAGTGGACAGTTAGGTGAGGAGAAGATTGCAGTGAAGTGTTTGGATCAAGCAAGTCAAGGAAAAAGGGAATTCTTTGCAGAAGTCGAGACAATTGGAAGAATTCATCACATCAATTTGGTCAGGTTGATTGGCTTCTGTCTAGAGAAATCACACAGGCTCCTAGTGTATGAGTTTATGCCCAAGGGATCACTAGACCAATGGATCTACTACAAAGACAGCAATGATACTCTTGACTGGCGCACACGGCGCAATATCATCACCGACATTGCTAGGGCCCTTGCTTATCTTCATGAGGAGTGCACACATAAGATTGCTCATCTGGATATCAAACCACAAAATATCCTCTTAGATGATAACTTCAATGCCAAAGTTTGTGATTTTGGATTGTCTAGGCTGATACATAGGGACCAGAGTCACGTGACAACCAGAATGAGAGGAACACCTGGATATTTGTCCCCTGAATGGTTAACATCTCATATCACCGAGAAGGTTGATGTCTATAGTTATGGAGTTGTGATGATTGAAATCATCAATGGAAGGCCAAACCTTGACCATTCCAATCTTGGAGGGGGTATTCAGCTCCTTAAATTACTGCAAGAGAAGGCACAGAACAGTCACCTGGAAGATATGATTGACAGGAAGTGCAATGACATGTCCTTACACCAACAGGATGTGATAAAGATAATGAAGCTTGCAATGTGGTGCTTGCAGAGTGATTGCAACAGAAGGCCTTCCATGTCATTGGTGATGAAGGTCCTTGAAGGAGAAAGTGATGTTGAAGCCAACTTGAACTATAACTTCTTTGATTGCCGCCAGCGTTCATCCTGAGCCAGGATCGAACTCTCCATGAGATTCATGGTTGCATTACTTATAGCTTCCTTATTTGTAGACAAAGCGGATTCGGAATTGTCTTTCCTTCCAAGGATAACTTGTATCCATGCGCTTCAGATTATTAGCCTGTTAAGTCCTGCGAATTATGTTCCCGTTGACCCATTCAAGATGTCACTGCATGGCTCCATGCCTCCACCTGAAGCAAATGCAGATGTAGAAAACCATTTTTGTGAACTGTATTACTGCAATCATATCATTGATATCACACATCGATCAGTGCATACCCAAGTTAATCTGTGTATTGACTAGAAATGGTAGTACTGTTTCAGTTCAGTTATTTTGTGTCTTTTGTTGCACCATTTTGTTGGTTGCCCCTAGCTAACAGGTTTAACTTCTGCTGATCGTCATTTATCCATCTCGCAATGATATTAAGATGATTATGTCAATAAAAGCACTGCAGTGATTCAAATTTTGAATGTACGTAAGATGTAGGTTGGAAATAGGGAACTCTTTTAGCATGTGAAATAGACATCTGTGTTATTTGGATGGTGAATATAGTCGTCACGCGTCAGTAGTATGTAAATTATATCCACTGTGCCCCCAGGTTAATTGACAAACCTCATGTTTTAAGTACGAGTTATAAACGTTCACATCTCAGGCTAGAAATTAGCAGCAATGTGTAGGGGGAGCGCACATGGAGGAAGGAGAACAAGATATTAGAGATTAATTATCCTTGCTGATCTTTATTCATACGCACAGCAATACTTAAATTGACCGACTAATTAACAAGTCCTACAACTTATTTCTACTGCAGTTAAATCAACTATTGTAATCCTAAGCCAACTAACTTGCGACCAATGTGGTGGCCTGCACTGGCTATGTATAGGTGTGCTCAACTCAACTGCATATTCGTGAAAAGATAGGATGGCTAATATGTCATATAATCATAGGTTTTCTTCCTCACAGTAAAGAGAACGAGGCACAGATGACTTCTTCAACATTACCTCTTCCAGAATTTCGGTATAGTATTTCACTAATCTTGTGCTAAACATTTTAATTTCTTGCTGTTACTTAGATCAAAACATTCTTGAAATAGATGTTCCCTATTTTTCGCCATTCCAAGAGATATTTTGATCTGATATCTACTCCCTCCATTCCACATTATAAGACGTTTTGGCCTCTACATCCTTCGTCTAGATTCACTAACATCTTTATTAATTTGGATGCATATATAAAGCACAAACATAGATCTATGCATGCATATGTTCATAACCCAAAACGTCTTAGAATGTGAAACAGAGGAAATATGTACTAATTGTATAATTCATTAGATGGATCATACCATCATGATCTAAATCCAATCTGTGTTCAATGTCATGTGCCACCTTTAATTCCAAAATTTGAATATAAAAATTAGAAAAGTGTAGCTGAGGCATATTTTTATTTTACTTTATTTAAACTGCTGTAACTCTAAATATTACCAACATATTGTGATTAATATTTTAATGTTTATAATAATAGCCCATGCTATGCAGGGGTTAAAGACTAGTTCTTAACATCAGATGTGGAAACATATTTATTCTAGTCTACATCGATATCTGTTACTCAATTTAATGTTTTGAAAACAATCTGTATTTTATCTGTTCCACTAGTTCTGTTTCTTGACTAAGAATATTCAAAGTCAATGCTGAGATAAACCAACATGTGATATGGACAAGGAACTGAAATGTACCTGGCTCTCATTGCTTTCCTCTGTCCTCTTTAAAGACGTTGCCTTTAGACCAATACTTCTATCATACGGCACACGACAGTCGACAGCAATACAACTGGGTTAGTGCAATGGTCATCTGACCTTAGATAGTTGTACAATTTTGAAAGAAGAAAAACACAAGTCCTTATAAAAAAAAGAATCAGCAGCATCCAGAGAATTGCAGTCCTCTTCTTAGTTCTTATACGCTAATTGGGGGGTTAAGGAAAAAAAGGAGTGGGATTTGCGTGCACATGGTTGTTGCTGTGTACGAGAATGGCTCTTCCAGGCCGCCTCCTCCTCCTCTTTCTCACTGCCGCACATGCAGCCCTGCAAACATGCGGTGGTGACCAAACCCCTGGCCCCGTTGCAAATGTATCCAGGGTCTGGAGCAGCAATACCTCTAGAGACGTGCTCCTCTGCTCTGTCCCAGGCAATGGCAACGAGAAACTGTCCTTCGCTGCCGGCTTCTACTGCTCCTCCCCTTGCGACGCCATCCTCTTCGCCGTCTACATCACCTCAGGCTCCGGCGATATCCCTGTGGTCGTGTGGTCTGCCAACCGTGACCTTGCGGCACACCAGAACGCCACCCTGAGCTTCACCGCCAGTGGTGATTTGGTTCTTGCAAATGCAGATGGCAGCGTTGTCTGGTCCACCGGCACCTCAGGGCAGTTTGTCATTGGAATGACCATCACCAACTCTGGCAACCTGGTGCTATTTAATGATGCCTACATGCCGGTGTGGCAGTCGTTCGAAAATCCAACAGATTCTTTGCTCCCTGGGCAGATGCTAGCGGAGGGAATGATGTTAAGGCCCAACAGCTCTGCCACCAACTGGACTACAAGCAGACAGTTATATTTCACTGTTCGGTCTGATGGGCTCTATGCGTTTGCCGGATCTGACCAACCTCAACCATACTATCGGTTTGAGTTTTATTCGTCATATCTGGTTAAAAATGAAAGCATCACACAGTATCAGTACAAACCAACCTTTGTGACTCTGGTGAATGGGAGCCTATCAATCCCTGGATCTGATCCACTGGAGACCAAATTGCCACCTGCACACTCACTTCAGTACTTGAGGTTTGAGTCAGATGGGCATCTCAGGCTATATGAATGGGAAGAGTTCAAACAACGCTGGGTGATAGCAAAGGACATCTTTGAGTTAAACTACTGTCAATACCCAACTGTTTGTGGGGAGTACGGCATCTGCTTAAGTGAGGGCTGCTCCACTGAGGGCATGGACTGCTCGACTACGGAGTGCTCCTGTCCCAATACCACATACTTCAAGCCAATTGACAACATGAGACCTACTCTTGGTTGTGCGGTGGAAACTGAGATTTCCTGCCAAGCTATGCAAGATCACCAACTCGTAGCAATTCCTAATGTTACATACTTCCATCTCTGGGGCGATAGCCGTGGTGCACCAATGACCGATGAAGAGAGTTGCAAGAAAGACTGCTTGAGCAACTGCTCCTGTAAAGCTGCCTTGTTTAGTTTGTATCTCAACCAAACTCAGGCTTTGCTCTATCCGGATCTATCTCTTTCTATGTCATATCTGAATACGTGTTACTTGCTACCAGAAGTCCTTTCACTGCAAGCATATCTTGATCCAGGCTACTACTCAAAAGATCCGGTAAACGCTAGGTCAACATTGTACGTCAAGGTGCAGAGTACACACCTGCTTCCTCCATCAAAGAAAAAAAACACTTTTGGTTATGCAATTGGAGCAACCGCCGCTGCACTAGTGACACTCACCATTATCTCAATGGTCATCAGGAAGAGGTGTAATCGACAAAGAGCTGATGAAAGCGATTTTGCAGACCTGCCTGGAACAATAACGAGGTTCACCTTCAAGATGCTGAAAGCAGCAACCAATGATTTCAGTAGCAAGCTTGGGGAAGGAGGATTTGGTTCAGTTTTTCTAGGAAAATTAGGCAATGAGATGGTTGCAGTAAAACTGCTGGATCGAGCAGGTCAAGGAAAGAAGGACTTCTTAGCAGAAGTTCAGACAATTGGCAACATTCATCACATCAATCTGGTAAAGCTGATAGGTTTTTGTGTGGAGAGATCACACAGGCTCCTGGTTTATGAGTATATGCCTAGAGGATCACTAGACAAGTGGATTTATTACTTGCATAGCAATGCTCCACTAGATTGGGGCACGCGGAAGAGGATAATCACCAATGTCGCCAGGGGTCTGTCTTATCTTCATGACGAGTGTAGGCAGAGAATTGTTCATTTGGACATTAAACCACATAACATTCTCTTAGATGACAGCTTCAATGCGAAAGTTGCTGACTTTGGTCTATCAAAGCTGATCGAGAGGGAGATAAGCAAAGTTGTGACAAGAATGAAAGGGACACCTGGATACATGGCACCTGAATGGCTGACTTCACAAATCACAGAGAAGGTTGATGTATATAGCTTTGGTGTTGTGGTCATGGAAATCATCAGTGGAAGAAAGAACATTGACTACTCTCAGTCAGAGGAGAATGTTCAGCTCATTACTTTACTGCAAGAGAAGGCAAAGAAAGGCCAGCTTGAAGATCTGGTTGACAAGAATAGTGATGAAATGCACTTACACAAGGAGGAAGTGATTGAGGTGATGAAGCTTGCCATGTGGTGTTTGCAGAGCGATAGCAGTAGAAGACCATCCATGTCCGTGGTGGTGAAGACCATGGAAGGAGAAAGGGCGGTAGATGACAATTTGGGTTATAACTTCTTTGATTTGAGCCCTGCAATATCTGTTCCAGTTGAGCAGCTCAACAGTTCATTGCACCCTGAAGCATCAATTTTATCTGCCCCTAGGTGAAATCATAGGTAAAAAAAGGTCCAGTGTTCAACAGTAGTGTTGTTTCTAATTATCCTATGATGAAGTTTGATTTAGTTCGTGATTGTCATGTATGTTTCAGCAATGTAGCTTTAAAATGTCTTTGTCTAAGTTAAAATCTGAAATAACATGCATATATGCATTATATATACTGAGATTTTAAAATGGCCCTTGAAAAACAGCGATGTACTGAACATATGGCCACTCAGTTTTAATAAATTGTACATGGGGCTTAAGGCCCTGATATTATTATGGTTATTATAGTTATTGTTGTTATTACTGTTATTGTTGTTATTCTTGTTATTAAATATTTGATTAGTTTGAGTATTTCATTGCATCAGACAATCAGGTTGATGCCACATATAGCCAACAGTGCTGATTTATGAGCTAATTTGTTTTTTATCTGTTGCCATTCAGGGTGTGAGGAATATTTTGAAATATGTCTTCACAGATGATATTTGTTTGAGATTTTTCCCCTGTTAGTATTCAGGGTAGTTGGCAAATATCATGTCAACAGATGATTATTGCCCTCCCTTCTGACACAAGATCATTCTCTTCCTCTATACTCCCTCCATTCCATAATATAAGGCACGACCACTTTTTTTTAGAGACTTAGATGTTCCATAATATAAGGCATGCATGCAAGTATGCAATTAATTATAACATCTTCTCTATTAAATTATTACTTTTTAAAATTCTTCACTCTCATGTTATCTAATCCTATTGGACGCATGCATTATATTTATTAGGATGATCCAAAGTTCCAAACTACAAGATGATAATAATTATTTCTTGGTCTTTGGGTTAAGGGTGGTTGTGCCTTATATTTTGGAATGGAGGGAGTATATGTTATATATTTGAGTGATGAGTGCATGCAGACATTATTTATGTTTGTACAGTACATTTTGCATGCTACCTGTGTCATTAGTATCATCAGGAGAGAAGTACCTCAGAACCCATATGACGCCTTGGGGAGATTGTAATGGCTTCACTGGTGCTCAGATCATCTCATGGAGATGTCCACGAGGAGAAGCTCGTAGGAGGCGTTGAATCCCTATCCGTAAGGCTGGCTCCATGAAGATATTCCCAACTAGAAGGGGGGAAATTTCAGAATAGATTAGAACCACGAAGAGCAAGAGAATTTCAAGGGAGGTTGGATACCTCACTAATGTCTCCTCGAGAGATCGGCAAGCTGATGACCTGCCAGTCTGCCACTAGCCCAACTGCTTCGCTGCTGTCTCCTGGAACATCAAACCCTAACTCCCACGCCACAGCTAAAAGGGGATTCCCCCCACCCACCCCCCCCCCCCCCCAAAAAAAAAAGCTCAGAGATGCCCACTCTCCACTTTTCAGTCTAATTCAACATTTATCAGAAAAAGGGTATAATATTTGATTCCATCCATAAATCGACTTTCCCTCCTATGCTCTAAGTTCCAGTATTGATAAGAATTCGAGTTCTTAATGTTCGTATGGTGTAAATTGGGAAATTGTACCATAATAAGCCTAAGGCAACACATTATCTTCAAGTTTATGGCCTGAAGTGAGTTTTACACCTGTGGAATTGTTTTTTTAATCATCCAGATACACTGTAAATCACTTTAAGATCAGCCCCATGTTTGTTAAGTGTTAACGAACTCCTGAAGCAACCTGAAAAGAATTAGTGACTAGTTAGGTGTGGTCATGTAACACTACGCCACCGCGAAACTCGCCGCCGACGAGAGAGAGAGATATTTAGACGAGATCGGAGTTGGGGACGAAGAGAAACAGAGCTGAGGCAGAGGAGAGACAGAGTTTGGAGAGAGATAGATTCGATTTCTTTTGCCAGGTTGGCCACAGCCATTCTCTCTCTCGAGTATTTATCTCCTGATTACATGGGCCGTTGGCCCAAACGATTTAAGGCACGCAGGCCGCATTCTATTTGATAAAGTCTAGCCCAAAACACACACACTATCATTCACAGTTAAACCTCTTTCTCAGTGTCACCATTGCCGGTCATGACAGTGCCGCCCGCAGGAGTTTCAGCTTGTCCCCAAGCTGGAGCATCTGGAAAGCGAGTCTTCACAACATGATAGTCCTCCCAAGTAGCATGATCTGCTGGTAATGAAGACCATTTCAGCAACACCTGGACATGAGCTGCATTGCAGCGCTTCACTAGTCGACGCTCCAAAATCGCCTCAGGAACAATGTCAGCAGCATTAAGAACCACTGGGGATGGCAAAGAAGTATAAACAGGAGTATGATCTGGCACCTGAGCTTTGAGTTGAGAAACATGAAACACTGGATGCACAGTGCTGCTGGCAGGTAGATCCAAACGATAAGCCGCCACTCCAATGCGCTCCAAAACAGTAAAAGGGCCAAAGAACTTATAAGCCAACTTAGGATATGGTCTATTAACTACTGAGGACTGAGCATAAGGCTGTAACTTCAAGAAAACAGCATCACCCATAGCAAAAACACGGTCAGAACGACCTTTATCAGCCTTGTTCTTCATACGCAGCTGGGCTCGAGTTAACTGCTGCTGTAAAAATTCAGACAAGTGCTGCCTTTCAGTCTGAACATCCACCACATCAGGCAGAGTAGCCAATGTCAGATCAGGAACTTGAGAATAATGAGGATCCACCCCAAAAAGAGCCTTATGAGGAGAACAGCAAAGAGATGTATGATAATTTGTATTGTACCAAAATTCTGCCAAATGAATCCAATGGCTCCACTTCTTAGAGTTAGCCTGAGTCATGCATCGTAAATACATTTCCAAACACTGATTGACACGCTCTGTTTGGCCATCTGTTTACGGGTGATATGCTGTGCTCATCTGTAATTGAGTGTCCCAAGTAGCAAAAAGAGTTGTCCAAAACTTGCTAGTAAAGAGACGATCACGATCAGACACAATAGAACGAGGGATGCCATGAGTTTTAAATACAGTTTTGTCCACCAGATGAGCCACTTGTGATGCAGTGAATGGATGACGCAAAGGAATGAAATTCGCATACTTAGTAAAACAATCCACCACCACCAAAATTGCATTATAACCATCAGAGCGCGGTAAGCCTTCAATAAAATCCATGGAGATGTCCTGCCAGGCCTCTTTTGGAATTGGGAGAGGAGCTAATAGTCCAGGAAGCCGACAGTGTTCATGTTTGTCCTGTTGGCAAACCTGACATTGCTTCACAAAATTTTCAACATCCAACTTGAGACCAGGCCAAGCAAATAATTTCTTAATTCGATGATAAGTAGCAGCAATCCCAGAATGGCCACCAAGTGCAGAAGCATGAAAAGCTTGAATCAACTTAGTATGCAGTCCTGCATTGGATCCAATCCAAATCTTATTCTGGAATCTAATAATCCCTTGTGTCAATGAATACCCTTGAGAATTAGGAGAATGCACAGCCAACTCAGCTAGTAGCTGCTGAGCTTGAGGATCCACTGTATAAGAATTGATCACCTCCTGAATCCAGATCGGTTGGACCACAGAAAGAGCACAAAATTGAGAGGAGGAAGGCATTCTAGATAAAGCATCAGCAACAATATTATCAACCCCTCTCTTGTATTGAAAAGAATATTGCAAACCCATCAATTTAGTCATTGCCTTTTGCTGTAATTCAGTCCCCAATATTTGATCATCCAAATGACACAAGCTTTTGTGATCTGTTTTAATGATAAATGGACCTCTCTGCAGATAACATCTCCACTTATCCACAGCCATCATAATAGCTAGAAACTCTTTTTCGTAAATGGACAATTTCTGATTAACAGGACCCAAAGTTTTGCTATAATAAGCAATAGGGTGACCCTGCTGACTTAAAACAACACCAAGACCATAAGCACATGCATCAGTCTCCAAAGTAAAAGGAAGCTGAAAATTGGGCAAAGCTAACACTGGAGTGTTACTCATAGTTGTCTTCAACTGATCAAAAGCAAGCTGAGCAGCATCAGTCCAAAGAAAGGCATTCTTCTTCAACAAGAGTGTCAATGGTCGTGTTATGATACTATAACCCTGAACAAATTTTCTGTAATAGCCTGTCAGTCCCAAAAATCCCCTCAATTCAGTAACAGAAGTAGGCACAGGCCAAGCCAGCATTGCTGCTGTCTTCTCAGGATCAGTACTAACTCCTTTGTCAGAAATGATATGTCCTAAGTATTCTAGTTGAGTGCAAGCAAAAGAGCATTTAGACCTCTTAGCAAACAACTGGTGCTGCCTCAAAATAACAAAAACTTGCTAAAGATGATGCAAATGACTATCAAGGTCAGGGCTATAAACTAAGATATCATCCATAAACACCAACACAAACTTCCTGATAAATGGTGCAAAGACTGAGTTCATAAGGCACTGAAAGGTGGAGGGTGCATTCGTGAGACCAAATGGCATAACCCTAAACTGAAATTGCCCATGATGTGTCTTAAAGGCTGTCTTGGCTTCATCAGTTTCCACCATTCGAATTTGATGATACCCAGCTTTCAAGTCCAGTTTAGAGAAGAATTTAGTGCCTGAGAGCTCATCCAATAATTCATCAACAACCAGCATAGGAAACTTACTTTTAATGGTGAGAGCATTTAATCTTCTGTAATCCACACAAAAACGCCAACAACCATCCTTTTTCTTGACAAGTAAAACAGGTGATGCATAGGGACTCATACTAGGTGTAATTAAACCAGCATCAATCATTTCGTTCACCTGTTTCTCAATCTCGTCTTTTTGTAATGGATAATAGCGATAAGGTCTGCAGTTGACAGGAATAGCATCAGGTACTAGAGAAATAGCATGATCAAAAACCCTGTGTGGGGGAAGACACTTAGGATCGTGAAAGACATCGTCAAAGTCAGTTAACAATTGTTGCACTGAAGAAGGAATCACATGCTGGACATCATCCTGGGAATGTTCCAACAAAGCAGCAGTCCATATTTCACAACCCTTATGCCATTTCAAAAGTTGTGGCAGAGTGACAGCAGCAATTTCAGAAGGGACTGCAGCATCTTGTACTCCTTGAAGAGAAATCCAAGACCCTTGATACTGAAACTTGAGTGTTTTATTAGCCCAATGACAAGACATTTCCCCCCATTGCTCAAGCCAGTCCCTACCTAAGATGGCATCGTGACCCCCCAAAGTGACCACCCTCATGTCATAAGTAAATGTGTGCCCCTGAATCCACCAAGAAAAACCAGGAACCACATACTGACAAGGTAAGCAATCACCATTAGCAACTTTCACCAGAGTAGAAGGAATTGGTTTTAGAGGTAAACCCAGCATCTGTGCAAAGTTGTAATCAATAAAGCTGTGAGAGCTGCCAGAATCCACCAAAAGTAACAAGACTTTACTGTGAACCAATGCTCTCAAATGAATAGCAGTAGGAAGGTGAGCTCCTGTCAATGCATTCAGAGAAATATGACAGTCCTCCTCATCATCAGATTGTTCTGCAGCAATAACAACATCCAATATGTCATCAGTGAGCACCTCTTCCAACTGCATAGCTTTGATTTGGCCTCCAACAGCACAACGATGTTCAGGAGTATATTTGTCACCACACTTAAAACAAAGACCCTGAGCACGTCGATAGTCTTTCAACTGCTTAGCCTTCCATAGATCCTCTTTATCTACTCGACCTGGAGCAGTATCAGAACTGATATCACTCTTGTACTGAGGAAGTTTCACAAATTTCCCTTTGAGAGCTTTGGTAGCTCTACTAGCCAAGACAGATTCCTGCATAAGAGCAATAGCAGATGCTTGCTGTACAGTGTCAGGCAATTGAACAACAACAGCAGCTCGAATTTCTTCAGTAAGACCATTCATAAAACGAGTCACTAACATTTTATGTTACCCCCCACAGATGGATCAAACACTCTGATCTGATAGACAAGAGAATCAAATTGTTGTTTATACTCAGTCATTGTACCAGTTTGAGTCAGAGTATCTAGTGCAGACATTTTCTCACGTTCCACAACACCCTCAAATTCTGTTTCGACTGCCATTCTAAACTGATCCCAAGAGTTAACCTCATTCACTAACTTATAAGAATGATACCATTGAGCCACATTTCCCGACATATGAAACACAGCAGCAGAGACTTTGAAATTTTGAGTGATTTGGTACATGTCAAAATAAGTCTCACACATATCCAACCAAATCCGCACATCAGAACCATCGAAACGAGGAAAATCCATTTTAGGAAGTGGCTGATGACGCCGATAAATCCCATCACCAAAACCACGACCCAAATCAACCCCATCCAACACAGGAGGAACAGGTGGATTCAACGGCGGAGGAGTCGCGGAACCTGCACCTTGCCGACGGAATCCATGGCGAGATCCACCTTGGTAGTCACCTTCTCGAGACTGCCACCTTGGGAATCCAGCCGCTGATCAATCTCGTGCATCCACTTTGTGATGCCTTCCAACTTCTCCAAGAGTTTGGACTCCATGGAGTCCATTAGCTTGCTTCAAAGGGGCTGAAAGTTTTGCGGGCGCCGTGGCGAATCAGGAAGAATCCAACGCACGGCGACGCCCACAACCTGGCTCTGATACCACTGTAACACTATGCCACCGCGAAACTCGCCGCCGACGAGAGAGAGAGATTTAGACGAGATCGGAGTTGGGGACGAAGAGAAACAGAGCTGAGGCAGAGGAGAGATAGAGTTTGGAGAGAGATAGATTCGATTTCTTTTGCCAGGTTGGCCACAGCCATTCTCTCTCTTGAGTATTTATCTCCTGATTACATGGGCCATTGGCCCAAACGATTTAAGGCACGCAGGCCGCATTATATTTGATAAAGTCTAGCCCAAAACACACACACTATCATTCACAGTTAAACCTCTTTCTCAGTGTCACCATTGCCGGTCATGACAGGTCAGGATGTTTCATCCAATGATCAAGGGAAATATCCATAAAAAGGGAACCTTTACCTCTTGGAATCATTGGATGATACAGAGAAGTTCTTGCTGAGCCATTTATATGAAATCTGTCAAAAACACACATATCGATTGTTGAAACAGTCTGCCAAGGTAAACAAATCCAACAACTCAAACAATTTCAATGAATCAACCACTAAACAAGTAACAAGAATATTACGAGAAAGGACAGGCAAGTGGTTCATCCTATGGTCATGTGGAGCTGCAGTATCACACTCGTTTAATCATTATGTAAATAAACTCATGACATACAACAATCTGATTGGAAACTCCACCATCCCAAGCTGAACAAACTTGGCCAGTTCCTGTTGAATTTGACAACAAAAGGCTGATGCAATGTTAATCCTCCCACAAAAGATTGGAATAAATCTAAGTTTGTCATGGAAAACTGGAAACATTGTTACTCCATATACATGATATCATGAATGGGCACCGAACCATCAACAAAGATATCAAATCCACCATGAACTGGCACATTTGTTTCTTGTTTCTTTTTTTGTTTTTCTAAGCTTAACGCAATATGAACATTAATGTCCAAAACAAAACTTATCAACCCTAAGGTACACCTCGAACAAAACACAACCCTAACCCATGCGCGCCCCAAGTACCAAAATGAGCCGGCAAGAACAAGAATTCGAAGCGCACGAGAAACCAAGAAATCATCTCGACCCCAACCTTAATCCCTAATGCGGTAGAGCCTCGCATTCCGTTGTGACTCACCACTTAGAGCGGATCAGCGAAGAGGGAGTGGATTTGGGGGATCAGGTCGAGCAGCGCCTAGTCCGCGGTGGCCGCCATGGGGGGTGGTGCTTGGCGCGAGCTCCTGCTCCCGTTTTCAGAAGGTTCCAGATCCCTCGCACCTTGCTAGGGTTTGGGGCAATTGGGGGAGGAGGCAAGGAATTTGGGCGCGGGAATCGCGCGGTTGGAGGGCCAATGACCAGCACCAATTTTCCCGCCTCCCTACTCCTACCCTAGCACTAGTAATATGCCCTGCTAAACGCTACGGTGCAATTTTATTTGTCTAACAAAATATATTTTTCAAACTGGGAGATGATGTGATATGAATGAATATATAAAAGAAAGGTTATATGCAGAGCTCAGATGGATTTTTTATGGGAGAGTACTCAGATCAGGGCGCTAGGAGAAACGATGCTCGCTCGGGCGCTTCATCCGCCATTCAATCTGGGTCACTGGAATGGTAGTGCTGTTAAAAAAAATCGGATGATAGATATAGGAAGTGAAACAGCATACACGATAGTGTCACGCATCTCTTTTAATTTTTTTTTGCCACACGTTTGATGTTATGCTCAGATATTTTTTTGGTGGGTATGTGATAAAATATTTTATTTTAGGATAATGTCACACATATCTTTTGTTTTTTGCCACGCGTTTGATAAATATTTTATTTTAGGATTTGTTTGTATTCATGTTGAAGCCGCCCATTATAAAGCACTATAATGTGATTCATGTCACATCACCTTTTTTCGCGTGATGTGATAAAATAGTTTATTTTGGGACATGAACCCTTTTTGTATGCGTGCGTTCAATAATTAGTTTATTTTAGGATTTTTTTTATTCATGTTTAAATGGACAGTCCAATTTAATTTTGTTATATATATAGCCCTGAAGAGCGGGACTCTACATAGCCCAGTGTTTATGTACCATACTGCTGGGGAAACTTGCTTTTTGACACATACATTTTAGTATGCTGTATTTGGAACTTTGAAGTTATTTGTCCTACATGGCGAGCTTCTCAAATCTTGAATTTCTACAGCAAGAATCAAAGTATCAAACTAATTTCTAACAACAATGATGTGAAAAATGAATGCTGCAACTGTATATATGTAGAGAACTCAATTTATCATTTAATATTGGCAATGTACTGCAACAAATGAAAAATAAATTAACAATATATCTGAATATAAATAAGTGCAAATTTGCTCCATACTGAGTTATACCGCAGAACAATGAAGCAGCCAACAGCAAGAACGCAAGTCACTTGACAAACATGTATCTCCAGGATATATAAGCTGTGCTCGAATTTGCCATTCAAAATTTGAGTAACCTCCTAGAATTAGCAGTGTCAAAGTTTACCATATTGTTAATATGCATATCGAATAAACCAGAACATGTATATGTTCAATTTTCAACATTGTATATTCTGATATATGGAAAATAGACTCCTATAAAATTTGTAGTCCACTACTCTATGCCCTGAGCCACATGTCTAACTAACTGTGCTTCCCAAACCACATATTTCTATTGTCATAGCTTCTTAATGCTTACCTGCCACTGAAAACAATGTTACATCGTGTATAAGCCTATCTTTAAGCATCGATAATTCAACTTGAGTACTTGACAATTGGATCACTGAAGGTGGGAAATAATGTGGCTCGGTAAAATAAGCCCCAGCATGGTGTTGACAGGGTATTTGCCAATGATTTCAGCCTAGGAATGACTAACACAGTATCAGATATTTTCAACCTGCTAAACAGGATGGTTCCTATCAAATACAACCTACACCAACAGTCCGGTGTCAATTATTTATTGCAAAGACATATGGCCATATAACTTTTCTTTTTCTCATGAAAGGGGCATTTCTGCTTAATGTTAGTGAGCTATCCATCGTGTGGACTGAACATAACATATAAGAAGGCAGCACATCAGCTGTAATAAGTAGCTCAAATTCCTTGAAAAAGCCTGTAAGCATAAACTACTTGTTTTAAAAAGAATACAGCTTTTCAATTATGAACACAGCCAAGCAATCAAGTACCAACATATACATACTGCTACCGATTTGTTTTATTATTGCTTATTTCCTATGATAGACTGTTATCTGAATTCTGCCTAGTTCATGTTTAGCATAGCCAAACTAAAGTTTAAAACAGACAGGTCCTGATCACCCAAGCATTATAATTGAGCATGAAAAATATATACATACATGCTGAAAAACTAAGGACTCTCCGGCTCATCTGATCACCATGGGGCCTTATGCCGCCTCTGGGAAGCCAACCTTCAGGTTGTCATAATCAAACATGGTATGGTTGGCTACTTGGCTCCCATAAAGACATCTGGCATCTCCCAAGATCCTGCAGCAGCAAGCACCCATATTTAGAGTGAAGGACAATGTCTATGGGGACTTGTTTTTAGTGATGTTTAGCACAACGGAGATTGGAAAGTAATATCATAAAAGAGGAAAACTTGAACATGTCTTAATATAAAGTCTAAAACTGTTGAATGCACTTCTTTTGTTGATTAACAAGTATCTAGAAGAATACCATATCACTGAAGACTAAAGATACCAAACATCTAAGAACTACCTCATTTCTTTCGTGGTGACATCTCTACATATCACAGATCTTCATTTCAGATTTTCCAGGCAAGCAGGCCATAAATTAATTAAGGCAATGGCTAAGCTATATAGCGCCCTTGGCAATACATTTGCTTGGGGGTGATTAGTAATAAATGTTATTTAGCTCCCCATGATATTAAACAATTGTCTGAAAACAAGCACTTGAAAACAAAGGTTGATAAAATAGGTAGTGTTACATATTGTATTACCATAAGAAACTGAGGTTAAATACCACTAACAACCAATCCATCGTATATGATGTTTTGCATCCTATACATTTTCTTCAATTTGAAAGTTAAATTTCCTTGATAACAGTTGGTCCTTATACATATGGTGTTATTTAGAGTGACTATTTCCAGTGAACTAAAGAATGAATTAAATGCTTTTAAGCAGTTCCAAACTTACCTCAAATGGAACTGCAACAACTGGATAGTGATGCAGAGACAGAAGTTATGCAGCATAGTGAGGGCACCATGTTACCAAATACTGTGAGCATTTAAATTGCAAGACCTCTGAAAAAGTAGAACAAGCAGTTGACAGAATTCAGCAATAGATCTCGAGTATATACAGTTAGACAAGCTAGAGATGTACGAACAACGAAAGTAAATAGCAATTTTTGCAACAATTCCTAAATTATATATCCAACAACTCCATGTCATATGCACCAACTATCATCCTGAATTTCGTTTCCTTCCTGGAGATAAATTGCTTGGCTAAGCACCTTTAGGTCCATACGCTAGTGAAGCGTATAAGAGGTGTAAAACATGTTAATTATATGAGAAGCATACTGTTTAAGCAATCCAACTTGAAATCCCATTGCATCAGCGCAGTTATTAATAGCAAAAGGTTGTTTAAAATAAACAGAAAAGCAATGGTTAATCGACATTATTTCTTCCCCAAAATCCATATCCTGGTAAAAAAAAATTCTAAGTAGAGACGATTGGCACCACATGAATTAGCTCTAATCTATTGGTACACTCATAAACAAATACTGGCCATAGCTTGCAATAGAACCAGAATCGAGATTATAGATTTACAACGGTTATTACTGAAATGCAAGAAAGAGAAATTATGCAACACAAACCAGAATCAAACGGATCAGAGTGGGCCAAAATCGAAAAGCAATTGGTGTTGACAGGGGATCAGAGACCGTGGAACGGCG